TATATATATATATATATATATATATATATATATATATATATGGTGTGTTTATGCACATGGCTTTGGCCTATTGGTTGAGAGTCTAGACTATAAAACAAAAATGTTTTAGGTTCAAGATTTTACACATGTGATGCATATGTATTTGCATTTAAGGGCCCGTTTGAGGCAGATTAAAGTTGCGTTCGGCGTTTTCGGAACGCTGTGGCCGCGTTTGGAAAAGACGTTCATAACTGCGGTGCCAATAATCGCGTAAAACTTTAGCCTATAATCTGATGGATCATTCGCCGCTCCTCGACCCCTGCGTTTCAGCGTTTCAGAATAACTTATTACCCCGCTGCCCCTTCGATGCCCTAGATCTGCGTCTCTCCTTTGTCCTCTCGCCCTCTCGCCGCTCCTGGTCCCCTACCTCGTCTCTGCTGTCGATCCCGTGAACCCATTGAAATACTTTGCAATATTTCAGGTATCGTTTATTTTTAGAAGATCGTTGCCTTGGTTTGTTACCTGGGATTGTATGTATGGATTTTTTTAGGGCTTCGAACTTGTCTCTTATCTCCTCATCTATGCTTCTCGTTAATGGTTTTCAACCTAAAAAATTGTCTGTGCGTTGGAATGTTGCCTGCAATTCGGGATCCTCAACTCACGTTGTTAGTATTTGAGTTAGAAACATCTTTTAAAATTGGGAAATCTGTCATTCGAAAATGATCTTCACATGTTCTGAAAGTTGTCTTTGTTGGGTGCATTGTTGGTATGCACAGATCAATTTGGTGGGTGAAATTTTTTGTGGCTGAAATTTGACCGTATGTAACCTTGAGCTGTTCTGAATTCTGAGCCTGACAAGATGGCTGAATTTTGGTATACCATATACCGTATTGCTAGTTGTTCATTTTCGTTTTTAAAATATCACTATTGTTGGAATTGTTCTCTGGTTCTATTGCCTGGGATTGTTGCCTGGTTCTATTGAGTAACATTATTGCATGACATGGTGTTTGCTCGTTGTTAAATTTTTATTTGACCATTGTGCTATGTCATTATGCCTGTCAATATGCCTGTCAATATATCTGTCAATTAATTCATTATGCTATGTCATAATGATTGCAAATAGTTTCATTATGCATGTCAATTAATATTATCGAGATGATATGACTTTAATTAACCCTTGGCTAAGCAAAGCAAGGAGGGTTTTTATGGGTTTTGTTGCTGTCTGGAAGGGATGTGTTACAGTGCACATATGGATGGTTAGCTATTGTACCTAGAAGCATAGATGCTTCTATTTGTTTCGGTTTAGGGTGTTTCTGCACTATGTAATGTTGTATCATCAACAAGTTGAATAATAAAAACATTCGTGCCTTTCCTTCCGTGAACGTAGGTCTTTGACCAAACAACGTAAATCTTTTGTGTACTTATTTTTTTATTTTGTTTTTTCAATTTCAACACTGTGGAGATTCTTTGAGTATTAAATTTTTGTTCCTTATAGTTTCAACATGTCTAAAGAAGGGGGTCCTTCCGCAATGTGGGATAAACAAGTAGCCAACATTTTTTTGTGATTTATGTATTAAAGAAATAGAGTTGGGAAATAGACCAACAACGTACTTCAATAAGGAAGGTTGACTGAATATATCAAAGAGGTTTAAAAGACTGACTGAAAGGAATTATAATCGACTTAAGTTTAAAAATAAATGGGATCAACTGAAAAAAGAATGAAAGATTTGGAAAGAGCTAAAATGTGGATTAACGAGGCTGGGGTGGGATCCAATAGAAAGAACAATTGATGCTCTGGAAGAATAGTGGGCCGAGAAATTAGAGGTACGACTTACTTTTTCAATTTGTGCATTTCATCATGTACTCAATATTATGATGCTCAACCAAACTTGTTGTTTCAGGCAATATCAACGGCGAAAAAATACAAGCAGTGCGGAATTAAGCCTGATTTTGAAGATAAACTTGATATAATGTTCAAGGGGGTGGTGACAACGGGGAAATATGCTTTCAGCCCGAGTGAGACGGGGTTTGCAGGAATACCCGATGATTTTCCACCAGAACCGATGACAGTTGAGGAAGAAATACATAGTGTTAACCAAAGGGAGATGGGGGGGTCAAGCTCACATATGAAGAGGCCCAGGCTAGGAATACGTCGCGTCAATCTCATAGCAGTGAGAGACAATTCTACGGTTGTCGCAGGGGTGTTTCAGCTCGTTGCGGTTTCTTCCGATGGGTCGAAGCTCCAAACTGTTACACTGCTAGCAGTGATGAGATTACGATGTTTTCCCAAGTTGATAGTACAGCTGAGGACCGATGTCGTCAGAGTTTGAAATTGAATATTTTAATATTTCTCATTATAGTTGTACTTGTCTGTATCTTGTTTTTATTTTTTCTGGTGCTAACGAGAATGTGAGAGCTGTATATCATGAAATGTAATTCATCTGGGGTGATTTTATGTTTCTGCACTATATGTTTATTTAGTACCAATAAACTATTCTGAATAAACTGCCCCAAAAAGTTTTATCAAATATGAGTAAGAAGGTCATTTATACAGCCATAACTACCAATAAACTATTCTGGATAAGTTGCCCAAATAGCAAGCTAAATTATTCTGATAATAATAATCTACAGATTATCAGATTATCAGAATAATCTGCTGATATAAATAATCAACAGCTGCCGCAAACAGACCCTAAATTTGCTCAATTATCTACAAAAGAAAAAAAAAAAGTAACAAGGGCTACCACAGTAATATGCCAACTTCAATCTAATTAGGATTCCAGAACTGAAAAAAAAATATAAAATAATTTAATTTTAAAAGTCAAAATGCTCGAAAATTGATTATACTCATCGAAGTAAAAATGGTTTTCCATAAAGCAGACTATTTTCATTTGAAATCTCCTAAATGACCAACTTGAAGACTCCCCCGGCCAAAGAACGATCGTTAGTGTTCGTTCGTGATCGAGTCCACAAAGTTAGTACACATTTGGATTAAAAATTAGGGAAATAATTTAGTGTAGAGTACCTGCCTGCAGATGTTTAGCCCTAACGTAGGGGCTATCCCCGGCGGGGACTTTGTGGATTACATGGAATAGATCCTTCTTCCCTCCTCTTGAACTTCTCCACTTAACTCCTTCCATTTGCGAGAGTGAGTGAAAGCTTAAAGAGACGGAAAGAAAAAGATGATGAACCCTGCTTTCTTATTCTCCCGGAGAAGGAGAAGATGGAGGACGAGAATCCATCCAGGTTCATGATGGACTGATTTGTAAGAGCGGCATCATCATTCGGCCACGTGTCGGCGTTTAAACTGACGGCCGTTAGAAATCTTTGGACGGCTGCCGTCACCGTAATAGGAGTTCTTTGGATATGGTACGGATGGTAGATATCTTGATGGTTGGATGGATGGAATGGTCTAATTACTGCGTGTAGAGAGCGCATCTCTGCATGAAGAGCTGCGTGAGCTCTCTGATCGCAGTAGCGCATCGCGGCTGTATGACAGTGGGATCCACTGTCATACAGACGTGCATCACTGTCATACAGCCGCGATACGCGGCTGTGATCGGAGAGCGCGCACGCATCATCGCGGCTGTATGACAGTGAGATCCACTGTCATACAGCCGCGATACGCGGCTGTGATCGGAGAGCACACGTAGCTCTGCGTGCGCTCTCCGCACGCAATAATCGTTCAATGGAATGGCTTTTCGAGCCCGACATGAGTGATCTCATTTGTTGGTATTTTATTCTTTAGATTATTTTCTTGTTCAAAATGTGTCCATCTTCAAATTAGCTCCTTAAAAATTTATTCCAACTTAGCTCTACTATTTTGCTTCTCATTTAACCGATCTTTATTTTTTATTGAACCGGTTCGGGTCTTTTAATTTCATGGTCTAGAGTTTTTCCTACAAGACAGTGTGAGGAGGCAAGCTTAGGGTCTGCACCTCGTGCGGATAAACAGTTTATCCTGAAACGCGGCCCGCAAGTTGACTGCGGGGGCCGACTCGCTGTCTGCGTTTAGTGTAAAAAAACCCAAATACGACAGACATCATTTTCAAAAAATATACAAATCAAACAATTATGCCACAACACTTATAAGTTGTTTCAAACAGGCCCATAATTTCTGTTTTTAATAGGCTTTTCGCACAAAAACATTCCTATTATTCTCCTTGTGGGACTCGATGTGGGACTAATTGCCACTCCCAATGTTCCCGTCATTTCCCAATTCCCGCAGGTAACTTTAGGGACATTTAGATGCATACCACGAAAATCATATGTATTAACACAGATAATGCCTAATTTACGAAATATGAGGTCTCTCGACTCCCTCCCCAGCCCAAATCCTACGTATTTATATACATACCACCGAAATCCTATGTATTTCCATAGCTAACACCTAAACTTATACTTTTGTTATCTTGAAATCCAATAACTATTAAAAATAATTAATTTAGCATTTAATTAAATACTTGTTAAACATTTATATACAAAGGACATAAATAAATTTAATTATTTAATTATTTTGAGCAAAAATGACTCGAAACGGACATGCCTTTGTTTACGTCGGGCTCGTTGATAAATTGAGCTAAAATAAATTTCGTATTCGGCTCCCTTGCTTGATGAAGAAATTGAATAAAAGTAATTTAACGAGCTGAACAGGAGCTGTTCACAAATGACGAGCCTTTTTGATGGCCTATTCATGCATGAGGCTTTTTCAGGATTTATATCATTTTGATAAAAAAGAAAATCACAGCATTTCTTAGGAAGATTTATATACAATAAATTTCAATATTGTACTTGCGCGGTGGAACCGGGCACAACTTAAATACATTAAGTATTTTATAATTATCTTAATAATATTATCATTAAATTTATAATTATTTCATTATATTTAGATATAAAAAGACTTATGATTAAAAATAAAAATGTTACGAAAACATATTTTGATAAACATTAAAATAATATCAATTTAGAACAATAGACATATACTTACACATACATACATACATATATACATACATACATACATATTGTGTGTGGAGAGGTGTGTCTCCTGAAATAAAGAGGTGTGTCTCTTGGTGTGAAGATGTGTCTCTTGGATTAGTGGGTTGGGGGGGGCGAGAGCGTGTTTATAAATTATTTGTGAGTTTTATCTATAAATAAATGTGTAACCCTATGGGTATGTAACTCTTCTGAAATAGTGAATTCGCCGCTCTGCTCCCGAAGATGTAGACATTTTTTCCGAACCTCGTTAAATATTTGCATTATTCTGGATTTGTGTCGATTTCTATTTTTTTCGCCTTAAGTTTTACAACAATTGGTATCAAAATGAGGTTAGGTTCGAGGGTGGAGGAGATGGACGCAGTAAGAAGGAAGAAAAAGAAAAGAAGTTCAGCGGTTTTCGGCAGTTTCCAGCGATCGCGAGGTGAATTGCGGTAGTTCAAATTCAGCGACGAGAAGCAGTTTGTTGAGGGCTGCGATTTCCGAGTTGTGGAAAGCGGCGAATGGGAGAGCGAATTCGGACTCTAGGCGGCACTTTGAAGGTTCTTCCGTCGGCGAGATCGACAGGGAGGATTGTTCGCAGGCAGGCGAAGTAGATATTTCGGAGGAAGATTGTATAGTTTGTAAAGCCTTGTTTGGTAGTTCTGCGGAAAGGCTGAAGCCTTGGAGATCGCGGAGAAGGATTCGCGACGAACAGAGGTTCACGTCACACGACCATTCACGAATTTTCATGTCTCAGACTACGCACAATTAACAGAGTTCAGTTAACCGAGTTCGCAGGTTTGTCACAGAAGAAATTGTGATAGGAGGAGTTTGCGATTTTCACGGATTGTTCGCAGGTTTGTCGTAGAAGAAATTGTGATAGATGGAGTTTGGTTGGTGTCCGCAGTATTTCAGCCAAATTTTTTGTGCGAACATGAAATGTGCTTTGTGTGAAAGATTTGATTCACAAATCACAGGAATCTGCGGGAAAACTGCTGCAATTAACAGAGAAAATTTCAGGTTTATTTGAATTTATTTGTGGTGTGTTTTGTTTCAATACAAGGTAGGAAAAGTTCACTGCATGATTAATTTCAAATAACAATGTCTGGTGCAAAATTCGAGATAGTGAAGTTCGATGGAACAAAGAACTTCGGATTGTGGCAAACAATGGTGAAAAATTTATTGGCATAATAAAAAATTTTGAAGACATTGCAAGCTATGAAACCTGATGATAATATCTATAAACTGTTTGGGAGTACAGTTGTAGGTGGAGTTCAATCTGTCATACATATGATGAAAATGCAGCAGGAAAATTGACCATGTCAGGTATTTTCAACAAGTTCTTGTGTTACTTGAATTTGTTGAATGTTTGCAGTTGCTAGTTGGCATGGTTGCCCAACCCACTTCGATGTAAGAAACTCTATGTTTTTTTCTCCTAAGGGGCTGGATATTCGTAAGGTGGAGATTTTTTCCTAAGGGGCTGGATATTCACATGGTGGAGATTTTCTCCAAAGGGGCTGGATATTCGCAAACGTGGAGAATTGTTAGGTATGGCTCATATACCAGTTGTTTGGAGTCTCTTGGATTTGGAGAGGCGTGTCTCCTGCAATGAAGGGCGTGTCTCTTCGTGTGAAGATGTGTGTCTCTTGGATTAATGGGTTGGGGGGAGCGAGGGCGTGTTTGTAAATTTATATATGGGTTTATCTATAAATAAATGTGTAACCCTATGAGTATATAACTCCTCTGAAATAGTGAATTCGCCGCTCTGCTCTCGAGGATGTAGCGAGGATGTAGACATCTTTGTGCCGAACCTTGTTAAATCTCTGCGTTCTTCTGGATTTGTATCGATTCCTATTTTTTCATCGCCCTAAGTTTCACAACAATCAAATGTATGTCTTTTCATGACCCTCCCATAGAAATTTGTTAAAGATTGTTTCAATCTTGGATTGCATACGGTAGAACATTTTGGCAATCTAAAGGATCTAGAGAGGTAAGGAATAGAGAAATACTTCTTAGAAGAATAATTTTGCCACCAAATAATGAGTTTTCCCAACTTCAAATTTTCTTACAATTGTTATGCACAATTATTTTTGCTATGAGTTAATTGGATGCCAAGGTAATTGATGAGAAGTGTGTTATGCCGGAGCCCAGTCCTACCGCTCCCCCGATCGCAAAACATCACGATCTTCTGCTGTCACGAAACCGCTCCAGCATCTGCCTGCTCCCGCGCGCACGAAATGAAGCTTGGCTTCGTTAGATCACAAATAGTCGCGACTCCCTGCTGTTTTGTGAAACGTTGCCAACCTCCCTTCCTGTTTGCGATAAACAGATCACACGACTCTAGTTTATAGCACGGCCTTTTGTGTTCTTCTTTAACAATTTTGCTTTCACGAGATAGAGGAAGAGAAGTGCAAGCACTGTGTGTGTGTGCTTTGCAGAAGGAAGAAGGAAGAAGGAAGAAGAAAGAAGAAGAAGAAGATTTTTCTCCCTTGACTTTTTCTTGGTGGCTTGTGGCAAAAGTGAAATTAGGTTTATTTCTCTTGTAAGTTTATTTTCTTTGGTGTATCTCGGTGTAGAGCTTATTCGGTGTACCTCGGTGTAGAGAGAGAAGAACAAAGAGAGAAGAATAGAGAGCAACAAAGTGAGATATTCCTCTTGTAAGTTGAGATGATCGACTAGTGTAAATTCCTCAAGTAGTAAAATCCTCTGCAACTCCGTGAACGTAGGTAATTTGCCAAACCACGTAAATTTGTGTGTTCCATTGTGTTATTATTTTCTGATATGAATTTTCTCGTTATATTTTTTCGCTTCATCAAAGATGGTTCTTTTATTTTTATTTATATATATATACCACAACAACTGATATATATCACAACAAAGTGATTTTATAGTGAAACCAGTAAATTTCTCAATCCATTGTCTATTATTCATAGATACTATTTGCTCACTAGGAACTCTCATTTAGTTTTGTTAAAATGTATTCCAAAAACATTTTCAAAATGTTGAAGTTATATATATATATATTTTTGATAGTATTCCTGCTTGCATTGCAAAAAAGTTTCAAGTCATCCACAAAAGCCAAGTGAGAGAGAAGTTCACCCCCATAAGTCGAAAAGTACCTCTGGGGGTAATTGCAAGCTTTGTGTTAAACTAAGAGCTCAACAGTATTCGTGGTCTAAATTTATGAAGCTAAAGTATTTTAAGAAATCACATTTAATGCTTTGCAATGCCAAAGTTGGGGATTCTATTATTTGTAAAGAAATGTTAA